ATTTTTTTATGTATCTTTTTATATCTTTATAGTATCTTTTAAAAACAGGTAACCATTTAAGTTAATAATGAAAAAAATAGCATATAAAATAAAAGATAGTGTGAATTAACAAGAATTGACAGACTGCTGGGGTAAACATTATTTCTTTGATTTACATTGTTTAAAAATGTGTCTCAAAAAAGTTACCATTTTCTATATTGCTTTACCAATTCAAATTTAAGAATCATAAGCATTTGGGTTTCTAAATCTTGGCATTTCTCTTTCATCTTGGCAGTGCTAATTCAAATGATCTTACTGAACTTTATACTTGACTTTCAAGCTTCTTGCTGAAAATCAATGTAGAAATGGTAACATAGGATCAATATTAAGAGGTTAAATTATATTTAAACATACAAATTGACCTGTAAAATTGTTCCAAACTCTTTCATACATGTTTTTCTTATTTAAGAAATATTTTAAGACATGTCATAATTTAAACATAACAATCGGTTTAACAGAACAAAGGGGAAGTTATCTTTTTCTTGTCGTAGACATAGTAAATGACAGAAAACTTTCTTAAATCAGGATTTCTTATCGCAAGCCCATTATTATTTATTCCGTAAAGCTCTTCATTAATAAATCAATTTACTTAAGGACATACTAGAGGAAGAGGAAATTTGCATCCCAGAGTAAGAGTGTAAGGTAATAATAAAAGAAAGACTCTTTAAACAGTATATTTAAAAGGAGATGGGTTTACTAGACAGGAGATTATGTTAATTAACAAGTATTTTTAAAATCTTGATTAAGTAAACTACTTTTTTTATTCCATTGATTCTCGTTTCTTAAGATAAAACATAGCAATAATACTGCTGTTATCACATGTCAGTTGAAATCCAAACACTCATTCCTGTGAAATGTCATCTGCTGGTAATCTAGCTAGGCAAGAGAAGTGCTCTGTCTGCGACTTACTTTTGTAGCAGAGTGTATTTATAAAATCAGAACATTCAGATCAAAACATGTAATCATAATATTTTGTCTGTAGTCATTTATGAATAGACAAGTTCTAGACAACTATTCAGAATGCATAATATCTTTGAAGTTTTGGATAGTTACTTTGGAATGTTCATTTCAGAAATAAAGAGGTCTACATTCTTCTAAATATTCAAAGGCTGTGTATATATGTGTTTTCAATTAATAAAAGAGGAAGTTAGCTCTTTCTCTGAATTTACAAGTCTTACATGGATTTAAATAACTATAAAATTATAAAACCTTTCTTATATTCATTTATATACAAATTCTAGCTACAATTAATTCAGAAAGAGTAGGTGTCATTTCTCTAAGTTCAGTCATTTTGATAACATGTATTTTTTAAAAATGGAAATGTGGGCACACGGACATGAATATCATAACTTCTAAAACTAACTCAGAAAAGCAATTCACGTATGCTAATTATGTATCATTTTTTTAAAGTGAACCAATCAGACTGCTGGTCTTTCTGTCTACTTGATCCTTTGCCTGTGATTGATAGTGTAGGAGATAAAACAGTTTTAAAATTATTTCCTGGTTCTCTGAATCATTTCAGAGAACCAAATCATTTCACTTTTTATCATTTTAACAATTCTTATTTTGATACAAAATCTCCTGTTTGTAGTTTTCTTTTTTGGCCTGGCTCTTTTAATTCTCTTTTTCAGTCACAATATTTTTTAAAATTGTGTGGCTACGCCAACAATTCCTCAAAAGTTGATGAAGAAAATTTCTTATAAGTATGATGAGTGAATAACATATAATTTATGAGCAGTAAGTGATGTGCTAAACTATCTGCACTTTAATATCAAGTATATAGAATTAGTTGAGAATAACAAAATAGTATTTTCATCCATTATACCAATTTTTTTCTCTAAATAGGATATTTTTATTATTAAAATTCTATTCTATTCTATTCTATGATGTTTGACCATAATTTCTGACCAAAAATCTGTCCTAACTTTGAAAAGTTTGAAAGAGTTGCATAGTAAAGTTGTCAGGGGTGAGAAGGTGGGGGGAACAGGAGCTGTTTAACAATGAAAGAGCTATTTTCCAAAGATAAAAGGGAGTTGGGGTAGAGGTGAAAGAGAGGAAAATGTGCAACAATGAATGAATGAAAATCCAAGTTTATTATAAACTTTCATTAAAATCTAAAAGAAGTGAATGTTTAAAATTACAACAGTAGAAATAATTTGCAATTCTATAAAATATAAAATCTAGACTTCTGAGAGTTTGTTTCCTCAACCTGTTGATTTTGGTATGAGTATACATAGCAAACCCTCCCAAACATTAATGATATAAATATTATAAATTAAAAGACCAGTGGTTATGCCCTACCATTTTAAAACACATTTTTGTCATCTGATTCAATCTTTTTTCATTCATTGCCTAATTTTTATCAACTATATTTCAATCTATTTGTGTGAGAGGCTATATTCATGTTATTTGGAACATTAAAATGTTGAGTTATTGAGAAATGAATTAATAGGATAAGACAAATAACTTTTGGTAATCATTTGAATTAGCACCTTAGATTCCAAATACGTTTTGAGAAAGTAGTATGGTAGTATATAACGTTTTTAAATGATGGAAACCTTTTATTTATCTAACTTTTTGTATGCAGTGCCACTCCAATAAAAACCATGGAGAAGAAAAATTTCACCTCAGATTTTATTCTCCTGGGACTCTTTAAGCGCACCAGGTCTCATATCTTCCTGTTCGCTGTAATATTGACCATAGCCATTGCTTCCCTAATGGGCAATGCCCTCATGATTCTTCTGATTCACAAGGACCACCGGCTCCACACACCTATGTATGTTCTACTGAGCCAACTCTCCTTCATGGACATGATGCTGGTTCTCACAGTTGTGCCCAAAATGGCATCTGGCTTCTTGACAGGCAAGAAGTCCATCTCCCCTGCAGGATGTGGGTTACAAATATTTGACCCAATCACCGTGGATGTTGGAGAGTGTTTCCTCCTGGCAGTTATGTCTTATGATCGCTATGTGGCTGTGTGTCACCCACTGCGTTATCCCATCCTCATGAACTGGCAACTATGTTTGCAAATGACTATGGCTTCTTGGTCCCTGGGGGCAGCTGATGGTCTCCTGCAGGCAGTTGCTACTCTGAGCTTTCCTTTCTGCAGTGCACACGAGATCAATAATTTCTTTTGTGATGCCCCCATGCTGATGCGTTTGGCTTGTGCTGACACTACCCTTTTTGAAAATGCCATGTACGTCTGCTGTGTGTTAATGCTCCTTATACCTCTCTCCCTTATTCTGACTTCTTACAGTCTCATTCTAGCTGTGGTTCTCCACATGCAGTCTACAGAAGCCCGTAAGAAGGCCTTTGCTACATGCTCCTCACACTTGGCTGTGGTGGGATTCTTTTATGGGGCTGCCATTTTTATCTATATGAGACCCAAATCCTACAGATTGGCTAATTATGAGAAAGTCGTTTCAACTTTCTGTACTATTTTCACCCCTATACTGAACCCACTAATCTACAGTCTTAGGAACAATGAGGTAAAAGGAGCCTTGAAAAAGTGGCTTGAGAAAGACTTAAAATTTAAAACAGACTTAAAATTTCAGTGAATGTGGCCTCAAGGTTTTGGATTATCTGAAGTCATAATTGTATAAATTCCTAAAATTATTATAAATTAAAACATTTTGTAAAATTTTAAAAATTTATAGAATCAATATTTAAGCTCATTTATTTGTTTGTTGCTTTTGCAGTTGGGTTGGAACCAACCCATAGCTGACCCTCTGGTGGGTTTTCAGAGCAGTTAATCACACAGGAGGAGATTGCCCATCCTTCTTCTGTGGAACTCCTGGTGGCTTCAAACCTCATGCCTTTTGAATTACAGTGCACCTTCATGCCACTAGGCCATCAGAGCTCCCTCTCATTTACTTAAGTGACCTTATAAATAAATTTTGGGTGTATCTTTAGAATCTATGTATCTCAAAATAATGTTATAATATTGTCTATAGCATTGAAATAACTTTGAATATACTATTGGCAGTATGAGCAAGAAAGGACAAAACAGATGTATAAGAATCCATCAACATTCATTTCTGTGCATCAAAAGGCTCTAGAAAGAAAGTAAAGAGACAATATATAGCTCAGGAAATTTATGGAAAATACACAGCAGCTGTAGTTTAATATCTTAAATGTATAAATTATAGCTAAATTCAATAAAGGACTAATAATTTTTAAATGAACTAACAAGTTTAATATAAATTTTCCAAAGAATAAATATAAATTGCCAACACATGTATACAAAAATCCAAGCACATAAAAACATAAAGAAATTTATAATAAAAATAATAATGAGCTATCACTCTGCTCCCCTCCAAGATGTCGCTAGAGAGCTCTGGTGGCTTAGCAGTTAAAGAGTTTCTTTGGCAACCTATAGGGAGACAGCTGAAATCTACCAACAATTCTAAGGGAGAATCAATGGACATTCTTTTCTTTTTTAACTTTTATCATCTGAAAAAAAGGGTCAGAGAGTTAGCTAAAAGTCAGATCCAACTCAATGGACACATAAGAACACTAGCTATAAGATGTCACTAGAGGAACCCTTGCTGAATAGTACGTTATGTTGCTAGCAGAAACTCAGTGGTTCAAATCCACCAGTTATTGCACAGGAGAAAAATTAAGCCTCTACTTTTGTGGAATTGAATTGATGGCAGAGTTTCGGTCTTTTTTTTTAGACAGTGGTGAATTTAAATATGTTACAATGATCCAACAATTTTATTTCTAGGTATATATACAGAATTGTTATTACGTACTTACTGTCAAGTCTTCTCAAAGTCAGCCACAACTTGTTATGATTCACACAGTCAAACGTCTTTGCATAATAAATAAAACACAAATAGATATTCTTCTGGTATTTTTTTTTACTTTTAGCCAGAACCCATCTGACATCAGCAATGATGTCTTTGGTGCATTGGGAAAATCTGCTATTATTGAGGAGAAATGACGACAGAGGACTAAAGTGTTTCTGATTCAGATCGTACTCATTGTGATCACTTGCTATGCATCTGAAAGTTGGACAGCAAATAAGGATGACAGAGGAAGAACTTATGCCTTTGGGGTATGGTGTAGGAGAAGAGCACTGAACACCCGTGGATGGCCAAAAGAATAACAAATATATCTCAGAGAAGATGTAGCCAGAATGTTTTTTGGAGGCAAGAATTATGAGGCTTCACCTCACATACTTTAGGCATGTTGCTAGGAGGGGCTATTCTTTGAAGAAGGACTTAATGCAGAAAGGTAGAGGATGAGCAAAGGAAAGGAAGACCCTCATCAGGTGGAATGATGCAGTGACAGACTCAATAGGTTCTTGGGTTTTAGGATGTGTGAGGATGACACAAGACAGAGCAGTTTTAGATCTTTTGTTCATAGGGTCACTATGAGTTGTACTCAACTCGAAGGCACCTAACAATAACAAAAACTGTCAAGTCAAATCATCTCATAAGTGATCCTCCAGTGAATTTTCAGAGGTAGCAATTCTTTTCTTGTGGAGTTGTTGTTATGTGCTGTCCTCTTGCCTGCACTCACAGTGACCTTACATGCAATAGTTCTGAAACATGCCCTGGTCCTGAGCCAGTCTTACTGAAACTGACCCACCTACTTCCATTATCCCTGTTATTGTGTCAATCCATCACATTCAGGATCTTCCTTTCCTGTGCTGTCCCTCCACCCTTCTAAGCATAATGTTTTTCTCTAAGGGCTAGTTCCCTCTGTTCACATGTCCAAAGTATGTGAGATAGAACTTCAAAATCCTAGCTTCCAAGGGAAAACCTGGTTTCCCCCTCTACAAAACAGACCTGTTTGTTCTCTTATCATTACATGCTATGTTCGTTACTCTTCTCCAGAACCATAACTAAAAGGCATAGGTTATTCTTTTGTCATCCTTGGTCTTGTCCAGCTCTCTGATTTATAGCAAGTAATTGCAAAGAACATGGCCTAGATCAGGCTCACCTTAGTCTCTAGACTGACAGTGTTGTTTCTCAGTACTCTGGAGAGGTCCATGACAAAATATTTTCTGAGGGCAATTTGTCTTTTGATTTCCTGACTGCTGGTGCCAAGAGTGTTGATTATGGATCCAAGCAAGCTAAAAATTGTAAATAACCTCAGTGTCTTCTCCATTATGGTACTGCCAAATTGGCCCAATGGTGAGAATGTTTGTCTTCTTATTTTTTTATCCTTAAGGGCTTTTATTATTTTATAAATTTTTTTCCTACTAGTTTATTTACACTATTTAAATACAAATTCAAAGAAATTATTTCAATTTCCCTCACGCCCCCCCATCAAATAGTACAGCTCAATGATTAATCCCCCATTTGCTCTGTACATTCACATCCCTTTGCTTCCAGCCTCTCCCATCTCTCCTGGATCCTTATACTCATTCTACAATAATGGTTTTATACAATATTTATCCTTGGGGGACTGAGTTCGTTCACTCAGCATAATGTTCCTCAGTCCCTCCCAAGTTAGGTAATAATTTACAAAGTTATTGGTTCTGATTGGTGCATAGTATTCCATTGTGTGAATGTACCATAATTTCTCAATCCTATTCATTTTTGGTAGGACGTTTGGGCTATTTCCAAGTTCTTGAATGATGAATAAACAAATTGGGAACAAACATTTGGTAATATGGTCTCAGATAAGAGTCTTATAACAGAGGTTACAGAATACACCTGGTCCTCTACAATAAAAGACTACTAACTCAACTACAAAATGGCCAAAAGCATGGAAAGAATTTTCACAGAGAAAGATATTCGAACGGCAAACAGACACATGAGAAAATGTATCAAATCACTGGCAATAAGAGAGATGTAAATCAAAACCACAATGAGGTACCATCTCATTCCAGTAGCAATGGCAAAGTTTAACAGGGGAGCAAGTAATAAAGGTTGGAGAGGCTGTGGCGAGAAAGGAACTCTTACACATTGTTGGTGGGATTGTAAAATGGTGCAACCATTCTGGAAGGCAGTTCGGTGCTTCCTCAAAAAAGCTGAACATAGAAATTCCATATGACCTAGCAATTCCACTACTTGGAATATACCCTGAGAATATGAGAACTGAAGAATAAACTGAGATTTGTAGAACAATGTCTCTTTATTTTTGAGCTTAAATCCATATTGAAGACATTCTTGGCTTTCTGCAGTAAGTGTTTTAGATTTTCCTCACTTTCTGCAAACGACGTTGTGTCATCTGCATATCGTATGTTGTTGAACAAGTCTTTCTCCAATCCTGGTGTTATATTCCTGTGATCTTAAATATGAATTGTAGTTCAACATCAAAAAGACAAAAATTCTCACCACTAGGCCAATTGGCAGTAGCATGATAGAGGTGGAAGAGATTGAGGTTGTTAAAAAGTACACGATTCTTGGCTCCACAATCTACACAATCATAAAGCCCAGCTTTCTAAACTATTTGATCTGCATATAGATTAAAAACGTGCATCTTGATGAACTCCTTTCCTGATTTTGAATTATGCACTGTTTCCTTGCTCTGTTCTGAGGGCTGCTTCCTGATCTGAGTATAGGTTTCACATGAGCACAACCAAATGTTCTGGGATTCCCATTCTCCTCAAGGTTAGCCACAACGTTTTGTGATCCACACAGTCAAATACCTTTGCAAAGTCAATGAAACACAGACATTCCTCAAGAACTCTTTGCTTTCAGCCAATATCCATCTGACATTGACAATGATGTCTCTAGTACCACGGCTTCTTCTAAATCCCGTTTGTATCTTTTTAAGGAGCAAATGGTGGATTTGAACTGTGTGATTTTGTTACTGTACCACAGGTGCTTACCACTACACCAAGAATATAAATTATCCTTTATGGACGAGATCTATATTTATTCCTGTTCCCAAAAAAAGGTGACCCAGTGCTCACTTCGGCAGCACATATACCAAAAAAAGGTGACTTGACAGAATGTGGAAATTAATGAATAATACCATTAACATTACACACTAGCAAAGTTCTGCTGAAGATTATCCAGAAACTACTTGAACATTACATTAACAGAGAACTACCAGAAATAAAGTTGGATTTAGAAAAGATCATCTCACCAGAGACATTATTGCCGATGTCGTATGAATATGGCAGAAAGTAGACAGTATCAGAAGAATATCTATCTATGTTTTATTGATTATGCAATGGTATTTGACTCCGTGGTTCACAACAAATTGTGGCTAACCTTGAGGAGAGTAGGAATCCCAGAACACTTGTCTGTGCTTATATGAAACCTGTACTTGGAACAGGAAGCAGTATTAAGAATAGAGAAGGGAAACACTGTATGCTTCAAAATCAGGAAAGGTGTGTATCAGGGATACATCCTGTTCCCATACCTTTTCAGTCTGTATACAGACAGATAATTTGGGAAGCAGGACTCTATGAGGAGGAATGTGACATCAAGATTGGAGGAAGACTCATCAACAACATATGACATACAGATGACAACCTTGCTTGCTAAAACTGAAGAACACATGAAGAGCTTGCTGCAGAGAAGGTCAAGGAATGGAGTCTTCAATATGTATTGAAGTTCAACATCAACAAGACAATGATAGTTAACACTGA